GGCTGTTAAATGGCTGAAAAGTCCCCTCATGAGAAAAGGTGGAGGCTTCATCACTTGAGATATTTAAAACCAGACTAGACAAAATATTGAACTCTACAGGGAGAGAGGAAATGGATAAAGCAACTTGTTAGGCTTTTTTTCTACCCATCTCTGATTTCTGTGATTTAATATGTTTTTTAAAATGCAAACCACATTTGTATAACACAAGAGGCAGAAATACAATAAAAGGATTTTTAGTTGTAGTGTTGCCCGACACAATGAAACTTAATTTAAAATGAAATTTATGCTAGCAATTCAGACTGCAAGATAACTTCTCTTTGTTTAAGGTCTAGCGCTGAAAGCTTTGCTACCGCCACACACATCTCTAAAAAGATCGCCAGGCTAGGGATTTATTTCTGTGTGCCAGAACTCTTTATGATCTGCGAGGGTTCAACTTTTGACAAGCGGAGCTGATGCAAAAGGCAGAATACAGCTTTACAGAGGAGCAGTGGAATATGGGGTCTGTGCCTAAGGTCTGGCAGACTCTGGAATCTCCAGCACTAAATATTTGCTGATGTCGCTCAAAGGATAACATCTGCTAAAGCCCAAATAGACTCTCTTGCCATTGCTTTGAATGTCTTTAAATGCTTTCAAAAGCCCTAGTTCTTCTTCTTCCCACCTTTTTTTTTTTTAATCCTTGAAGACACTGCTCTATTTATGCCTATTTTAAATAAAGCTCGCTGTCTTGCTTTGGTAGAAATATGAATAAATCCTGGGGAAAAACAAAACCAAACACCAACAAAACGAGATTAGAGTAGTTAAAATGAGCCTGTTGAGGAGTGGAACACTGCGGCCTGTTCACTACACCCATCACCCACATGGGAAGATGAAACCACAACGTACAACTGCTGTGCAAGAAATAGAGATGCACAAGTGAAGCGATCTGCCACGGAGGTGGTAAAGCAGGGGAGGGTGTCAGGTCACGGTGGTTCTCAGGCTTGGGACAGCCTCTCGCTGGTTTTGAACCAGCCAATGCAAGGCAGGATGTAGCCACGTGTTTTCCACCCTTTGACAGCAAAACTGTTCTAGCAACCTGCTGCACCCTGTTCACCCTGACTGCAATTTGCCACCTCACAGAATCACAGAATGTTCGGGGTTGGAAGGGACCTCTGAAGATCATCTAGTCCAGCCTTCACCCCAGCATACCTAACCACTACACCACAGCCTCAAGTGCTAGATCTACTTCTTTTTTAAACACCTCCAGGGTTGGTGACTCCACCACCTCCCTGGGCAGCCTGTTCCAGTGCCTCACCACTCGTTCAGTAAAGAACTTCCTCCAAATATCCAATCTAAACTTACCCTGAAGCAACTTGAGGCCATTTCCCCTTGTCCTGTCATTAGTAATTAGAGAGAAGACCTCCTCAGTATTAATCTTGTTTTGCCGGACTGAGCTGTAAACTTAGTACAGCAGAAAAGGTTGTTCCGTTGTTTCGAAATGCTGTTTATCCGCAGTTGCACGTAGCTTTGTCCCAGCAGAGTAGGGGTGAGAAAATCGCAGGGTGAAAAAAGTGAGTTGGATTTCACCCTGGAAATGGTTCTAATTAGGAAAAACAATGTTTCTGTACACTAATAACAAAGAACTCCCTCCAACACAACAGCACCCACCTTCCTGTGAGCCTTGCCGGTTCTTTTTCCTCTGGTTGACGTGATGTGCAGATGTTTAGCTGGAAAGCTGTGGTTCCCTGTACTGTACTTTATTTGGCTGCGTGATGCTTGCCTCATCTGTATCTTCAGGTAATAAAGTC